GGGACATCTCCAGGTGGTCGCAGATTTATTCTGTCTTTTAGGCAATGTGGAGTATGTCACTGCTGCAGAAGACGGATGACCATGAGAGCTCCCACCAGCTACAAGTCTTCAGCTCCCACTGACGTGTGTGTGAAACGGCCGCAAAAGGCAGAACCGTACTATCTCTGGATAAAGTCTCACAAAGAGGGGAGGGACAAATGCAGTCATCTCCCATTGAATCCTAGCCCATCATGGCTGGGATGCTAGTGCGGGGGCTAGCAATAAGAGCTTTTTTTCCCATCAGAAAGTGGGAAAAGGTGTTTGGTCTCATGGTTACAGGTTTTTATGGCTCCTTCTGAGTCCCTTACAAGCAGACTCAGAATCACGGAAGATTAAGGTTGGAAGAGACCTTAGGAGGTGATCTAGTCCAAGCCCCTGCTCAGAGCAGGATCAACCCCAACTAAGTCATCCCAGCCAGGGCTTTGTCAAGCTGGAATTTAAAAATCTCTAGGGATGGAGCTTTCACCACTTCCTTAGGGAACCCACTTCCATCCCAGTATTTCTCCACCCTCCTAGTGAAATAGTTTTTCCTAATATCCAACCTAGACCTCCCCCACTGCAACTTGAGACCATTGTTCATTGTTTTGTCATCTCCCACCACTGAGAACGGCCAAGCTCTATCTTTTTAGACCCCCCGCCCAGATAGCTGAAGGCTGCTATCAAATCCCCCCTCTCTCTTCTCTTCTGCAGACTAAATAAGCCCAGTTCTCTCAGCCTCTCAACTGTGTGCCTTGGTCCCCTGATCATTTTTGTTGTCTTCCACTAGATTCTCTCCAATTTGTCCAAATCTTTTCTGTAGTGGGGACCCAGAACTGGTCACAATACTCCAGACGTGGCCTCAACCAATGCCGAATAAAGGGGAAGAATCACATCACTCAATCTGCTGACCATGCTCTTAGTAATGCAGCCCAACATGCCTTTAGCATTGTTGGCAAGAAGGGCACAAGGTTGACTTGTATACACGACTTGTATACACGACTTTTATCACGACTTGTATACAGTGTCTCTGTAATCTCCAGGTCCTTTTCTGCAGAACTGCCACTTAGCCAGTCATTCACAAGTCTACAGTAGTGCTTAGGAGTCTTCCCTCCCTCTGCACTTGTCCTTGTTGATTTCTTTTGGCCCAACCCTCCAATTAGTCTAGGTCACTCTGGACCTTATCTCCACATTCCAGCATATTTACCTCTCCCCGCAGTTTTGTGTCATCTGCAAACTTGCTGCGGGTGCAACCCATCCCCTCCTCCAGGTCATTAATGAAGATGGTGATCAAAGCCTGCCCCATGACTCACCCCGGGGCACACAGCTTGATGCTGGCTGCCAACTAGACACCGATCACTGCACACTGAGCCTGGTGATCTAAGCAGCTCTCTTTTTATCTTAGGGTACGTCTAGACTACCGGGTTTTGTCAACAGAAGTTTTATCGACAGATACTGTCGACAAAACTTCTGTCGACATACAGCGTCTAGACACATTCAGCTCTGTCAACAAAGCAAGCTGCTTTGTCGACAGAACCCTGTAGTCTAGACGCAACCCTACAGGCAATAACACCTTCTGTCGACAGAACTCTGTCGACAGAAGGTGTTATGCCTCGTAAAATGAGGTATACCAGCGTCGACAAAACTGCTGAGTTCTCTCGACGTTATGTCGACAGAACTCAGCGGTAGTGTAGACGCTGGGATAGTTTTGTCGACAAAAGTCCACTTTTGTCGACAAAACTCAGTAGCCTAGACACACCCTTATAGTCCATTCATCCAAGCCATACTTTTACTTGCTGGCAAGAATACTGTGGGAGACCGTATACATGTTGCTAAAATCAAGATATATCACATCCACTGCCTTCCCCATATCCACAGAGACAATTATCTCAATCATAGAAGGCACTCGGGTTGCTCAGGCACGACTTGCCTTTGGTGAATTGATTTTGACTGTTTCTGATCACCTTCCTCTCCTCCACGTGTTTCAGAATGGCTTCCTTGAGCACCTGCTCCATGAGGTTACCAGAATGACTAAGGCACTTGGGTTTAAAGGTGTAGGGACATGAAAAATAGTTGATACAGACAGACTTACCCATGTAGAATGATGTTAGTGGCTGCTGAACGGTGGGCAGACTCATTGGGAATGGGGCCAAGACCCCTTGTTTATTTCGCACGAGCTGGCTGTGACCAGATACTAACAACTTCTGATTACTCCCAACCTTGGCCATATTCAAAACGGTGACCTGGGGGTGGAATGCGTCACAACCCATCATTCCATCGCTAATGCACCTTTTCAAATGGTCAGTCAACCAGGAGGAGCGTGGTCTATCTTAGTGACTGGAGTGGGCCTAATCCAGAGCCAAAGCCAAGGGTCAAACGAGAGGGTAGGAACTGGAGTGGACATGGGATCAGGCAGGGAGGAGTTTAAGGCAGGCGCAGGCAAAAGCAGGCAAGTTAAGCTGCTGGCTGGCCCCTACAGTTAATGAAGGGTATGGCGAATCAAGCAGCCGCTGTAGGCTAGTTGTCCTGATGAGATTGCCTGGAGATTTGCTTCGTCACAGGCTTGATTCCTACTCTGCTCCATTCACATGGTCCGTCTCTTTCTGGCCCTGCGATGCATTTCTCTACTGATCTGTGCTTTCTCCCAATCCCGCAGTTCCTCGCCACAGCGGTGCTCATGTTGTGCATTCTTGCCATCTACGACAAGAAGAACAATGGAGCTCTAAAGGGAACGGAGCCTGTGATCACTGGGCTCCTGGTGTTGGCGATCGGCATGGCCATGGGACTTAACACTGGATACGCAATAAACCCTTCCAGGGACCTTCCTCCAAGGATCTTTACTGCAATAGCAGGCTGGGGAATTGCAGTTTTTCAGTAAGTCCCCATCTTTCCTTTGACACTGTACAGATCATAACTGTGTGACCTGAAAGATGTGTTAATACAAAATAAAATCAATTGCCCCTTCTTTAAAAGCCCTGTAAGGGAAAAACTAATCTCTGAGCACACAGATGAGTTCTCTGCTCCATGGAGAATGAATGCTGCTCTTTCATGTGCCACAATAGCCATCGAACAGTCTGCTAGGCTGGCACAGAATATAGGTTGAATCTTGGCTGCTTTGTCTAACATATTTTAAAATGGAACCATTAGAGAATCAAATCCCATTTCAACAGCATTGGGATCTCCTTGTAGTGGATGTGGGAATAGACACAGGCCATTCACAGTGCAATTCAGTGACAGCCGCCACATTGTTTCAATGTCTGGCAGCATGCAGACTGCAATTGCCCTTACAGCAAAGCTGGACGTGCGGTTAAGCAAAGGACTCAGACCTCGGTTCTGCTCCTTACGCTGAAATAGGTGTGACCTCAGGGAAAGTATTTTATTTTCTCTCTTTGAGGTCCGGTCTGTAAAACGTTGATAATACTTCTACCTCAGACACTGTTCTGGCCTTAATTCATCTAGGCTGTGTTTAGACTGGCCAGTTTTTCCGGAAAATCAGCCACTTTTCCGGAAAAACTTGCCAGCTGTCTACACTGGCCGCTTGAATTTCCGCAAAAGCACTGACGATCTCATGTAAGATTGTCAGTGTTCTTGCGGAAATGCTATGCTTCTCCCGTTTGGGCAGAAGTCCTTTTGCACAAAACTTTTGCACAAAAGGGCCAGTGTAGACAGCTCAGATTTGTTTTCCGCAAAAAAGCCCCGATCGCAAAAATGGCGATCAGGGCTTTTTTGCAGAAAAACGCGTCTAGATTGGTACGGACGCTTTTCCACAAAAAGTGCTTTTGCAGAAAAGCGTCTGTGCCAATCTAGATGCTCTGATCCGAAAATGCTTTTAACGGAAACCAATTTTCCCTTCTTCCACCCCCCCTCCATCTCCCCTATTTATTTTGGTCCTAGACATCCAACACTCCAGTCATCTGAAGAAGTGGGATATGCCCACAAAAGCTCATGATACCATCTACATGTTTTGTTAGTCTATAAAGTGCTACTAGACTATTCGTTGTTTTTTCAGTTTACCTGTACAGACTAACTCGGCTACCCCCTGAAGCTTGTTAGCTTCTCCAGGGTAGACTCTGGCAGCAAAATAAAAATTCTTGTCCAATGTGTTTCACCAAAAACCTGTTCTGTCTTTTCTTCTAGGGCTGGAGATCACTGGTGGTGGGTCCCCATTGTAGCTCCGACACTGGGAAGTCTGGCTGGTGCCTTACTCTACAAACTCCTAATTGATTTACATAATCAGTCTGCACTGGAAGGCAGAGATGAGAAAGGAAAGAATGATTTGCAGACTGACAATGTGTGATGGCCAAGTGTCCCTGGCATAAAGCTTGGAAAGGAAAATCCGCCACGTGACTTCATCGACAGATCAAATGCTCAGCACTGTCTTAACTGCACTTTTGTTTTCATCCCACTAATTAAATAACACTCCAAAAGTGATTCAGTAGTGTCCAACAGACATCGGCTGTGCCTGTAATTATTTACTCACCTAATCTATAGGAGTAAAAATGGAGAGCGGTTTTTAAAAGTCTGTGCAACTCAGACTAGCTGGGATTTCTGGTGGGCCGAACAGTATGGAGTGGAGCTGGAAGTGTTCTGTTCTAGATGTCAATGGATGTTTACGTTTCTTCACTTTTTTTCCGTTATGGAAATAATACACCAAACCCATTGGTCAGGTGGAAAAAACGAAGCCAAGTGACTCCACACCGGTAATTCTGTAGCATCCCAGATGCAAAATTCTCTAGCTCAGAGCAGAATAGATATGAGTGAGAGGCTCACTGAGGGCATGTCTATACTTACCGGAAGATCGATGCTCCAGGAGTTGATCTTCTGGCATTCCATTTAGCAGGTGTAGTTTAGATCCATAAATCAAATGTTGAAGGCAGCTCTCGTCAGTGTCTGCTACTCCTCTTTTTGTGAGGAATAAAGGAAGCCAAGGAGAGCGCTTGCGCCTATTGGCCTCCCGCTGTGTGGACACTGCTACAGCCTGGTTTAAGGTAAGCCAATTTTAGCATAGCTAGAGTTGAGTATCTTAAATTGACCTTCCAGGTCCAGTGTAGACCTGGCCTGAGTGTCCTCTTGTGTATCCCTGGTAATACTACTACATAGAACAAACAAGAGCTCATGGAAGGTTGCTGCCCACCATCAAAACCAAGACAGTTGGGGCAAAAAGGCCTGGAGTGTGGCTGTAAAAGTCCCAGATACAGCTGGGGCAGGATCCCATCAGGACAATGATCACAGCAAAGAGCATTAGGCTGCCTCGCAAGGATCCCCTTAACTCCTGGTGTAAGGAGCATGCTAGTGACGAGGTTATGGGTGAGAGGAACCCGTTAGGAGCTGGGCAGTAACACTGGGCAGTAACACTGAGCTGTGCTGTCACCCCTAAAGCAGCCCACAGAAGCTGCTGTAACACAGACAATCCCTCAGGGCTGCCTCAGTTATAATGGTGTCCAGAGAGCAACCTAAGATGGGGATCTTAAAGTCATCTCAGTCCGCTACCCATTCCATGTGTGCCTCTGAGGAGCACAGCACAGACTCTTATCCTCAGGTTTGTGTGCATGCTCTTTAAAGGATCTGGTATTCTTCAAAAAATTATCATTTTGGAGGAAAATATGAAAATCTTTATTAAAATAACAACACAGTGCTTACTCCTTCTAAGGGCCATACACACATGAAGTCAATAACCCACACGACACCCTGTCAGGTGGCTTGATATCCATAGAATCAGGGAAACCTAGGGCGGGCAGAGACCTCAGGAGTCATCGAGTCCAGCCCCCTGCCCAAAGCAGGACCAACCCCAACTCAATCATCCCAGCCAGGGCTTTGTCAAGCCAGGACTTCAAAATCTTCGAGGGATGGAGATTCCACCCCCTCCCTAGGGAACCTCTCCCAGTGTTTTCCCGCCCCCTTAGGGAAATAGTTTTTCTTAGAACTATTGGACAGTTACGTAAACACTGCAGCTGTTAGACACCCGTCCCCCACACTGAAATAATCACTGCTTGTTTTGAGGTGGGGCCCTGGATTTCACACCGATTGTTTGCTGGCTCCTAAGTGTTCCCAGCACACCTAAGAAAATTGAATGTGACAGAATGGAGGCAGCAGTGAGTACAGTTGAAGACCCGCCGTGAACGGATTAAAGTGCAGTTCTACCCTCAAAAATTACTTTGTCTAAAGTGTAGACAATGTTTATGGGCTCCACGCCTCCAGCGCCAATCTCACCCAGAGTATAAGTAATAATGGCATTTCTAAGGGTCTGTTTTACAACTCGGACTGGGAACTGAGGGGCAAGCTGGGTTTTTATGGGCATGTGCATCTCTAACAGTAAAGCTTCTGTGGGCGCCTGTAGCTGCGTTGTCTCAAAGAGCCATTGAAAGCAGTTAAGCTGGAGCACCTGACAGCTTTTGGTCTTCTCCATGCACTGGAGCAGTGTTAGTGAGGACAAACTCCTGCAGTAAATCCTTCAACATCTGCCAGTACAGCTTGCTGCCATGGTTGTTGGCTCCAGTCTCCTCGGCCCTGTCCTCAGAACAGCTGGGCAAAAGAGCAGAGGAAAATAGCTGGGTTCATTTGGCCACAAACTGGCAGTGAAGGTGGCTTTCTTTGTTGGGAGGGCCTCTTGCTTAGAACAAGGGCAGCTGAGCATTGCTGTTAGGACATTTAATCAAGGAGACCTGTTAACTGCAGTGTCTTGTTTTGTGACTCACCCCAGCTCCCAATATGTGCCTGCTGAGAGGGCACCGACCACCTGCAGTAGCACTCTCTGCTCCGGCACCACAACCCTGGGCCTGGCCCAGTACGGAGGGGGTAGCCCCTGTGTGTACACTGGAGATTGACCCTGTCCCACTCACCCTGCAGCAGCAGTTCTTGCCGTATGGGGCTGTGGCTGGCTCCCAGCTCCATGGACAGGAGATGCTGCTGCAGGCTTGTTCTTCAAAGCACCCACCTATTCCCTGGGGCAGGGCCGGCTTTACACAGAAGCTAAGTAAGCTACAGCTTAGGGCCTCAGATGACTAAACTTCATTTTTTGGGTAATGCTTTGGGGCCTCGTGGGGCTTTTTAAACTTGAGATAGCTAAATGCCTAAGCACATCTTAATTCGGCCCTGCCCCGGGGAACCTCTCTGCATTGGGTTCCTGATCCGTCTGCAACCTCGTTGGGACCCACAGTTTGGGAAACTCTGTGGCAGGAGAGCCCAATCCTGTGACACCTGATCCTGAAAGTTGTTGAGCACCTTGCCTGCCTACCGAGCACAGACAGCTACGGCGATAGGGACCCCACAGTGGTCCAGGGCAGATTGTTAACCTGGAGCCAGAGAGCTTCTGAGGAGAGCAGCCCTGGCCTGAGACAACGGGAGTGTTTTCAGAAGGCTCCCACATCCGTGTTTTCCAGCACGGTTCTTGCCTAGTCCATCCGCTCACCACGCTTTGCACGACTCTGGCCATGGATAGCTCTTGTGGAGAGTGCACGACATCAGCTATGGTCTCTAGCAGCAGCAGGCTATGCAGCTGCACAAAGAGTTCACAGCCTGCCCCCAGGCTGAACACTTAAGGGGATTTGTGGGTGATGATCAGCATGAAGCCCTTACACACCACTGAGCCATAGGACCCAGCCCTGCACTCGTGAAGTCAAGGGGAGCAATACTACCAACATCGCCGGGTTTGATCCTCCACTCATTACATGCAGAGAGAACATCCTTCTTTCTTCTACAAGGACGCGGGCAGAAATATTTACTGGTGCATGTAGGGTGTATTTAATAAGATGTATATGAAAATGAAGATAGAGAGTTAATTTACTTTATTTCATTGCTGTACTTTACCAGCGGTAACACACTCCACCCAGCTCAATGACTTCTGTGGCATTTTGATCCACCCTCAGAAGTATTTGCCCAGCACAACAGAAAGGAATTAACCACCATCTCGCTAGGACCTGCAGCTTTCTGAGTCTCCAGCCGTGTCTTCCATTGAATAAATTGTGGTTGTATTTCATGCAAATGGTGCAACATGGCTTGCACTGGGAAGTCTCTTCCTGCCTGAGAAGTGGTTTGATCCAAACTGGAGAGACACCACAGTGGGGTTTGAACGACCAGGAATGAAATCGCTTCCCAGAGTCAGGTTTGTGGTTCTCGTCTCCGCAGCGAGTTCCCGGCGAGGGAAGAGACCTTGGAGGAGGTTGTGCTCGTGTGACTTTTCTGGGAGCCTGCGGGCTGGGATGGCAATTTCTTTTTGAGCACGGGAGTTTTGTTCTTGCTTTTAAATACCTTGTTGGGGTCCAGTTTATTCACAAAGGAGTCAGCTTCTTCCGCAAGTAGGGCTGTATTGATGGTGATGGGTTTGTACATGTTAAACCATTGCTGAAAAAAGCAGATTGTGGGGAAGGATGACAGGAAGGGGGCGGGGGAGGGGGGGGAGAGAAGGAAGAGAAATCACACATTAGAGACTTGGGGGGAAACCCCAAGAATCAAGTTTGGAACATTTTAAACATACACCAAGCTCCTGCTGTCAGGAGCCTGTGTTGGTCTGTGTGTCAGCTCACACGGTTTTCTGCAAAGAGCTTTATAGCAGAGATGGTTTGTAACCGCAGAATGAGGATTGTGATATAACCTTCCCAAGGTACAGAGATGTCTGGATCGGCCCACTGTGCAGGTAAAGGCCAGAAGAGGAACCTGATTCTCCTCGTTTTCCCTAGGTGTAACTCGGCAGACATTAGGGAGTTAGTTACTCCTGATTTATATCAATGGAAGGGAGAAGGGAAACAGGCCTAATTTATTTGGCTTCAGAGAAGCAGCAAGTGATTAATACTACTTTGCAGTGCAATTTGCCAAACAAGCATGGCTAGAATGGCTGGGCCGCTCCTGTGAAATAAAAAGCCTCCAAAGCCCTTCTCACAGTGCAGGTTCAGTAGTGCAAACTTCCACTCAGACCTTGTGTTCACTTCTCTTCTGCCTGGTTTGAGGACTGTACCATCCGCATTATCTTGTTGCCACTGGGAAGTTTCACTCTGCAATGCACACTCCTGTCTTCTACTTTTCTGTTTTCCACATTTTCTAGCGTTTTCTGCATCTAATGCCGCATTTTTACATCAAAAACGAAGTATGGGATGCTTCCCGCCCACTTAATCAGTCGCATTACCACTGGTCCTACAACTGGCAGGTAACTTTTGTTTTGGTTATAACTTCCGGGTTTCTGTTATTCCTCTTCAGCTTATCTGATGAAGTGGGTTTTGCCCACGATACCCTATCTAACTAAAAATATAGAGAGTATGTCTGTACTTGCACCCTCTTTCAAGAGAGGGATGCAAATGCAGCTGAGCAAAATTGCAAATGAAGCGTGGATTTGAATTTCCCACGCTTCATTTGCATAATTGCAGACCGCCGCTACTTTGAAATTATTTCGAAATAGGGTATTTCAAAATAGCGGCGGTCCGCAATTATGCAAATGAAGCGCGGGAAATTCAATTCCACGCTTCATTTGCAATTTTGCTCAGCTGCATTTGCATCCCTCTCTCGAAAGGGTGCGAGTACAGACATACCCTTACAGACTAACTCAGCTACCCCTCTGAACAAATATAAAGGGAAGAGCTGGAACTTAGCATCATTTACAAGTTTGGGAGCCATCAAAAAGGTATGAATAAAGATATTACCTGGCTAGCACACTACCTTCCATATCCTAATGACTTAACCAACTAAACAATGGGTACCTAAGAACAATTTGCACCTCCTCTATCAGCTTCTTGTAACTTGAACACTCTAATTCACTATCTTTATCCCTTCCTTCCCCCTATTTTTTTTTGGATATGGACTTTTAATACTCAATTCATCTGAAGAAGTGGGTTTTGCCCACAAAAGCTCATGATACCATCTACATGTTCTGTTAGTCTTCAAGGTGCTGCTACTCTATTCGTTTTTCAAGTTTCTTCAGTTAGGGTATGTCTACACTGCCACCCTAGTTCGAACTAGGGTGGCTAATGTAGGCATTCGAAGTTGCAAATGAAGCCTGGGATTTAAATATCCCAGGCTTCATTTGCATCTTGTCGGGCGCTGCCATTTTTGTTAGCTTCTAAGTTGCCACAGAAGATTGTTGTTTTTCAAGTTACAGACAAACACAGCTATCCCTCTGACACATTTTCTATGAGAGCCAGCTGGCTCATGAAGCCAGGGTTGGGTTATTAGGCACAACCCCGCCTCAAACCACTCCTGTTCCAGTGCACAGCATAGTGCTGAACAAGATAAACAGCGTCAATACACACACTAAAGGGTGGTAGAGCTAAATACTGTATAAGGGGACCGTCTCCAGTTATTTCCCCCTGAGAGCCCTTTTCAGATGATGATGCCAGTGCAGACAACCTTGCACCACTGGAATCAGGTAAAGGCAGCAGGATATAATCTAACCTAGGAGGAAATTGATTGATTAGGGAGTGCCTGGGGAACCCTTTCACACCAGGGTTAGTAAATATATGCAGTAGTGTGCTGGAAAAGCTATTGCTAGAGGACAATCCGCAGAGCCTGGATCAATCAGGTAGGTTCTATTTAGAGCACAGCATGATGGGGAAGAAATCAGAAATGCTGGGGGCCTAATCAGTTCTCACTAGGCTGAAACTTGCTCTGGCTTCAGAGGGCTGTCTCACATGCTTACCATCAGGGAATGTCAATTTGCTGGTAGCAAGTCTGCAGTTTGTGATTAAAAACAAGGACCTTCCGATCCACTACACGCAGCAGGGAGCAAAGGTCCTGCCAGCGTGGAGCAGCGCTCAGGTTTAAGTGTTGTTGTCTCCCACAGGGCAGAGGGTGGAGTAATGAGCAAGCTGGGACAGAAAGCCCAATCAGAAATTCACAGGCAAGGCAGGAGGCTATAAATACAGAGACCTGGCACTCAGAAGGGAGCAGCAGTGAAGAGAACAGGCTGGAAGCAGATTGTGCTTTTATGCCTAGCCCTGAGCAAGGAGCAGCACCACGCCAGGAGCAGCCCGGGGGGATACTGGGACTCTCACTCCGGCACCATGTTTTGGGACAGCAGGACAGTACTTTGTTGCCACCTTTTGCAAGGTGCAGCGTGTTCCGCACTCGTGTATGGTTAGCTCTGCTGTCCTGTGTGCAAGGGGGCCTCCCTGCTCCACTTGCTCTCTGCAGTTGGGGAGGGGGATACAGTCTAGTAAGGAAAGGGGGCATTTAGCCCTTGCCTTCCCACCACGTTCAGACCTGTGATCTGGGTTGGTCTTGTGCGTAGACAGCCGTGTCCCCCTGCACAGTCACCAGTGGGGAGAGCTCCATCTGCATAATAATAACCACATTAACGTGGTGCCTCTGCCAACTGCTCGACAGCCCGGCTCTGGCTAGTCCTCCTGATCTAATACACACCACTTACACCCCCACTCTGATGCCTGTGGAGGATTACCTGGCTTGCCGAGAACCTCTGCTCGTTGCTGAGCCAGGTGGCTCTCCACACTGCCCTTGAGAAAGCTTCCGTTCAGACTCACTGCGGAGTCCTAGTAAGGCTGCCACTCGCCTACCTTAGCCTGGGGGCTGATGCCGTAGCTGGTAAAGGCATACTGCCATTGCGGGAGGCCCAGGTGAGTGATCAGCAGTCGATAGTAGGCAGTGAAGGTGTCCGTCAGGAAATGCCAGTACAGAGCTCTGTCCAGAAACCAAATCTCCGTGTCTGGGGTGACCACTGGAATTGAAAGAAAGGAACATAAACTGTAGCACTGTTTTGAAGTGGAAGGATAAGGTCTCAGCTGGGTTCATCTGGAGACCTGCAGTGATGTTGTGATACTTTGGATAGTGTAGGATGGCTCTTCCAAAGGGGTAGGGCCCAATGTGTCCTAAGGCAGCATGGTCTAGTGGTTATAGCCTGGGACCCCAAAGTCCTGACTTCTAGGTTCCATTTCCAGCTCTGTTACTGATTTGGGGTGTGCTCATCAACTAGTCCCTGTGCAGACATTTTAGGCAGCTAGAAATGGCACAGAATTATCATGTGGGCTCATCTGTTCAATGCCAAGGGGGAAATCCTGGCTCCAAATGAAGTCAGTGGGAATTCTACCTTATGAAATCAATGCAGCCAAGATTTCACTCAAAATTGCATGTAAGTTCAGAAGAGTAAGAGATAACCAAATGCAGCCATTTATCATAAGCCATTAACTGTGCTCTGTTTAGTCTTTACCTGGTTTGGTGTGCTTATAAACAAGGCAAACTTTCCCGTTCCCATTGCATGCGTCTAATTCAAATATCAGGCTACGAGGGTCAAAATGAGGCTTTTCTGGCTGGTCTTCATTACCTTTAAAAAGACACAAAAGAGGCTTACAGTCCACCTTCACTGACCAGTGGCTGCATATACTACGTGGAGAGCTGTTTACATGCACCAGGCCCTCAACTTCATGTGTGCACACACAACTCAAGCATTGAAGATCGGAGGGGGACCCAAACTGTTTGTTCAAATACACAAACTCATGCCCATGGTACACTTATGGGTGCTACTGTAGAGGCATGTTTGAAAAGCTGGCCCATAACTTGTGGTACGATACACAATTTGTGTAGTGCCAATTGCGTATTTTATTTTGAGTTTAGGGTGCTGTGTAGATGCACCCTTGGAAGGATTCACTTTTAATTGGTAAATTAACAGTTATTAATTATTATAAGAAATCAAATTATTGCCAACTTAAAATGGAGAGAGAGAAAGTTCAAAACAATGGAATGAAAAGGCACCATAAGCAGTATTTTTAGTTTTATGACAATCACTGTATTGTAGTTCTGCTTATATATAAACACCTATGGATACCTCTTGAAGATGCATGCACAAAAATGCACCTGCAGTTCACAGAACTTAGATGTTCATTAACCTTATTGCAAAGCCAGACAATCTTTCTTAGAAACTAGGGCTTAAGGTCTGGTAGATAAAACAGTAATGCACGTGTATTTAAACCATTGAAAACCAGCTGACATGGGGATCGTTTTGGAATAGCTGTTTTAAAATCCTCACTAGAATTATTCATCATGTTGTGAACATTACTCATTAAGCAACGATGGCCAATCCCTTCTTCCCCCAAAAGCAATTAACCATTATGGTTTTTGTGATTCAATCTCATAAGTAAGTTGGAATGAGAACAAATACATAGTTTAGAAAGAATAGAATTTTTCCTGTAATAAAAGAAAATAGATATACATTAATAGAGTCTACCATGGGAAAGCAAATGGTTTTTGGATGGCAGCTTCTCATTAAAGTCAAAGGTAAAACTCCTTTTGGGATATAATGTGCTCTCACACGTGTCTTGCAAGTTCAGTGGAGTTGCATGTGGGTAAGTGAGAGCTGAATTTGGTCTGTTTCTTTTGAATAGCAAGAGGCTTAGAATTACAGCAGGACTTGGGCAACATCTCTACTAGCTAAAGGACAGGAGTGCCTGATAAGCAGAGAAGGAGCCACAGAAATCACATAGCAATTTGTACATTTTATTATTTTTTCTGCAAAGACCCAGCATGATCCCACATCCTGTTGGTCTCGCTTATTGCATCGAGTGAGACTGCAAGCTGTTAAGGGAAGGGAATGGATCCTTTTAATTGCCAAATGCCTAACACATCCAGATGCATTTCCCCTGCTGCCTCTTGTGTCAGTATATGTCGTCCAGTGACATTTCTAGCTCTGAAGAGCTGCATTCAAAATCAGTGTATCCAAAGGGCCTTTCCACCACCATGACAGTTATTGCCAATGGTTGTTGATATTATATTGTAAATATACCAGCTTTTTCCAAGCCGAATGAAAAGAGGAGGCCCTAGGTAACAATTTAAGACCGGGAAAAACAAAGCACAGGGAGCAGTTGAGTTGGGAAAGGAGCGTAGACCACACTGGTGAGGAGGTAGAGTAATGATACCAGGTGGACTGTAAGTATCCAGTCCATTCTTTCTCTGGAGCAGAACAAATTGGATCTCATTCAGAGTGACCTCTGACCTCTCTACCTGTGCTAGCAAAATGCCAGTTGGCCTATTATGCAGAAATGCAGCTCATCCCTATCCTGGAGAATGAAGGAGGAAAAGCTGCATGGGTGTACCATCCCATCTGCTGCAAAGAGGACCAGACCTTCCTCATCCGTATCATCTTCCAGGTCAGCAAGGGTTGGAGCACTGGGTAGAGCATATGCCGATGATCCGACGAGGCGACATAGCTTGGAGATGCTGTTAATCATCATGGAGCCCAGTGGCATGGGGTTATCTGCAGTGCAGTGACAAGAGAGATCATTAATACACCCCCTTGACAGCACAGCAGAGGAGATCTTTTTGTTTTGTCACCCCCCCCATGTATTTTGTGAAAGGCGAGAAGGAGAAATGGGCATTGCAGCAGGACTGCAGGTTTGCCAGATGCAGACTCTGGGGGAGCAAAGCTGAGACCGTCTCAGAGAGACCACCAAGGCAGCAGCTGAGGAAGGTCCAGCTCACGCCTGGTGCTGACGGCAGCTGTAGCCACCTGGAAGAGGGCCAGGGGGACTGTTGGTCAGGTGCTGAAGTGTTAAACCTAGTCAGGGCTCTATGGTTCACCACAGCTCGAATTCCCATTTGGACCACCCAGCGGGCCAAGCGGGTGCTGCAGACTCCGTTTCCCAAGGAGATCAGCACTTTCTGCTTGCACCAGCTGAAGCTAGCAGCCTTCTGCGGGAGTGCCTTGCAACAATCCAACTTTGAGGTGGCCAAATGCCTGTTTCAGAGGCTCTTGTTCCTGCCGGGCACAGATGAGCCCAGTCTGGCTAACACTTACGCTGGAGTAACTCCACTGAAGTCAATGGGGTTACACTGACGTGAGATCAGAACGAAGCCTGGTGTTTGTACCTGCTAGCACGGAAGTCTGTGTTAAAGCTTCCACTGCGCCCAATGGGACTAGGATCAGGCCCTTCATTCAAATGCTGTTCATTGTTAAAATTTCCCAGTATCATAATGGCAGCAAGGGCTCTTGTCTCCTGGGCATAGATACTGCATGGGGCACAACCTTTGCAAAGTTCTTTGACCCCCCTCCTGCCTCTGTCAAACCAGATGGAAATCTGAAGAGTGTAAGAAGCAGGAAGCCAACTGATAGCAAGATGGTCCCTCTGAGCTGAGTAAGTACTACAGGTTAAACCTCCCAAATCTGGGATTATCTGGTCTGGAAACATCCGTGGTCCAGCAGGGCTACAGATGTTGCTGGACCAAAGAGCCCCGGAGGCTGGGAGCGTGAGCCAGCTGGGAGAATGTGGGGGCTGGAGATTCTCATCTAGGCCAGCAGAGACTGAGTCAGGAACCTCAGTATCAGTGGGGGCCTGGTGAGGGCTGGGGAACCCCCGCCTAGCTAGGGAACCCCCAATAGTAGTGGAGCCAGCTCAGTGGCCCCGGCTGAGGAACCTCTGGAAACTCCTGGCGGCAGTGGAGCCAGGCAGCGGCAGCTGGGCAGCTTCAGCCAGGAACCCTCAGAGGCAGTAAGGCCGGCAATGGCCAGGCAGCCCCAGGCTGAAGAAACCTGGGGAATCCCCCAGAGGCAGCGGGGCCAGTGGTGGCCGGGCAGCCTCAGCCGGAAAAGCCTGGGAATCCCTGGACACAGTGGGGTTGGTGGCAGCCGGGCAGACCAGCAAAGGAACCCCGGGGAACCCCAGTGGCAGCGGGAACCCCAGTGACAGCAGGCAGGCAGCAGGGTGGGGAGCCCGAGCGAGGCCAGCAGGGAACCCCAGGGAGATGAGTCAACAGAGAGGCAGCCAGCAGGGGAGCCTTGATCTCCCCTGGTCTGGCAGACTCCCTGGTCTGGGACTGCTGAGGTGCCGAGGGTGCCGGACCAGGGAGGTCCAACCTGTAGACAAAAATTGCAGATTGAAGTCCAACCTGTGTACTCATCCATTTGATGATGGGTATGTTTGGATTTGGATAGTACACACTGGCATTTAGGTGATCAAAAATAGACCTGATCCTAGCAAAATAAGTTCTCACATGGAGATCCTGCATGTGCATGGATCGTAGGCTTAAGCCTGATGTATCATGCACAGAAATTCAGGTGGCTGTTCAACTTTTATCAACTTGTGTTGGCTTTTGATTCCATAGCACTTTGGACTTTGCTAGAGGGTAGTTTTATACATCAGTAAGGGTATGTCTACACTACAGCGTTAATTCGAACTAACTTAGTTCGAATTAGTTAATTCGAACTAAGCTAATTCGAACTAACGCATCTAGAACTAAAAACTAGTTCGAATTAGCATTTTGCTAATTTGAACTAGCATGTCCACATTAAGTGGACCCTGAACCGCAGATTGAAGTCCAACCTGTGTACTCATCCATTTGATGATGGGTATGTTTGGATTTGGATAGTACACACTGGCATTTAGGTGATCAAAAATAGACCTGATCCTAGCAAAATAAGTTCTCACATGGAGATCCTGCATGTGCATGGATCGTAGGCTTAAGCCTGATGTATCATGCACAGAAATTCAGGTGGCTGTTCAACTTTTATCAACTTGTGTTGGCTTTTGATTCCATAGCACTTTGGACTTTGCTAGAGGGTAGTTTTATACATCAGTAACTGAACTATCCAAAAACAGCTGGCTAAAGGGCAGAGTGGTTATTTTTCATTCAAAATGATTTTGCTCCTCTAGCGTAGCTCAAACCAAATGAAGGATTCTGTTAAGCAGTGATCAAATTGAGAGGAAGGGATTGCAGCTGTCGCGGGGAATGCACAGAAAAAATGGAAATTTTACCCCAAAGGATTTTAAGCTAAGGGAAAGACACAGAAAGACTTACCATCAAACTTCACACTCCAGGTCATGTGGAAGCCATCACTCATTAGGTAGAAATTCTTCAAATCCTCTGGCAGCACACAGGAGTTTTTCTGTAATCACAAACATGCCCCTAAATGCTATGAAAGGGAAGAGGGAGAGCCTGCTTTGCCCCAGATAGCTAACTCTCCACTGAGACAGGAATGTTCATCACCAAAGATCTCACTGAGCCCCCACACAACTTAAATCACATCATTGGAGAGATGCTTTCAAGTTTCTTGGATCTATTTCCAAAACCAGGTTCTTTCTTTGACAAAAGAACCTGGTTTTGGAAATAGATCCAAGAAACTTGAAAGGCACCTTCGCGGCAATTTCATGCAATTGGTTTGCCAATTTAGCTATTGTGAATAAAGGGATATTTTAGGTGTGTTCCACAATTTTCATGATGTGGCAACTTGAGTAATGAATTCACACTCCCAAATCACGGACTCCAAGTCATCAGCTAATGCACATTCACGGCTTCGTGCGGGACAGAGCTTTGCCAGCAATGAGACCAAACCAACTAACCAACCTCTTCCATTTGATCTACAGAACCTGCAGTAGTATCGAGACTTCTCTCCTTCACAGACTTTCAGTCATTGAAGTGTAATAGGCACATGCAGGCAAGCACATCCGACATCCCATCCGAGAGTGTTCATGTACATATAGGGGGTCCAACCCTGCAAACACTTACTGCTGAGCTTAGTACTTACACCTATGAGAAGCCCTACGGACATCAATGAGACTATGCTCAATGCAGGCACTATGTGGGATCGGGCCTTTAGACAGTAAATTCCACTCCTATTTTCGATACTAACACTAAGTGCATGACATGGATTTGAAAACCACAAAGATTCACATTGGGAGACGGTTTTAATGAGCCAAGGAAAGATGCTGCATGAAGCTACTTACGATCACTAGAGCCCTGCATATCCGCCGATATCCACCTCATATCTATGGATGTGGACATCTGCGGACATGGGATCAGATGTGGATACAACTATGCAGGACTCTATCACCGATGGTGGCTGGCCCACGGTTCTAGGCTGGGCAGCCCGGAGGGTGCACCCGGTGGCTTGGGCTGGACAGCCGACTGGCATTGGCACTGTTCAGCACCCCCTCACCAGGCAACTCGAGCCCTTCAGCCAGTACTAGCATCCCCACCATGGCCCGGCCTGACAGCACGGCTTGCTAGCCCTCGTGAGAAGGCTTGCTGCTGCGGGCACAGATGCAGATAAACATAAAAGACAGCGAGCGGATTGTGGGTCAGATGCACATTGACTCTGGTGGATGTGGGTCTCGCTAATAGATTCCCAGGCTCCAGCACTGCAACTGGTCAGAACTAGAAGGAGGTTCCTCCATATGTCCACAGCTAGACTATCAATGATGCTCGCTCTCCAACCTGCACGTGGCCTGCATCCATTTGCTCCCCACAGCCGACTGCTCCTGTGGCCCATACATGCTTGGTTTGCTGCTTGTCGATATGATCTGCAACACCGTACAGTTCGTGGCTATGATATTATTCACGTCTCACACCAGTATCAGGCACTTGGCTGGAGGGTTCTGGCTCACGTGCTCAGGGTTTAACTGACCGGCAAGTGTGGGCGGGGAAGGAATTCCTTGCCCTGGTCAGACCAGCAGTGATCTTGGGGTATTTTGCCTTCCACTGCAGTGTGCAGGTCCAGGTCACTGGCCAGGATTATCTGAGCGCATCTCACTTATCGTTTCCCTGCTGTTGTGAGTGCCTCTGGCACTGGTGTGTCTTGGTGCTTCTGAATCTCTGTCATAAGATCTAATCTCCTGTGGGCGACAATGCCTTCTGGATCTCACTTTGGTTGTTGGGTTTAGTGTGCGGGTATGCTGGTGGCCTGTGGTACACAGGTGTTCGGACTGGATAATGGGGTGACCCTTTCTGGCCTAAAACTCTATGATCAGCAAATTGGTCCTTGGCATAGCGGCTTTTCCAAAACCTTGACTGGATAATCGGGTGACCCTTTCTGGCCTTAAACTCTATGATCAGCAAATTGGACCTTGGCATAGCGGCTTTTCCAAAACCTTCTGAAAATGCCTCCATTGGCAGCAGGTACCAAGGAGAAGACATCTTGGTGTTGAGAAGAACTCAGCTGTCACGTGATACCAAAGGGAAAGGAAAGCTGCTGGGCAGAGTTGCTCGAGAATTCCAAATCATACAGGAGTGCTTTACATTTTCCAAGCGTCTGTAACAGATGTGCCCTTGTTCGGCAGGCTCTTTGCAGAGCTAAGCATTTGTAATTTTACATGCAGCTTCATGAGCTCTGACTTCGTAATGCTAGTTGCAAGAGGGAGGATGTGGATTAAAACCATGAAGGAGGCTGGATGTATGGAGATGATTGATGTGCTACAGAACCTCAACGGAATACAAGTATTGACATGCCACACTGTGTCAATCTTAAAAACCTGTTTAATCAGTTAATTGTATTTTTCTATTAATACCCTTGTACATGAAAACAGCTCCATCGACATCAGTGGCCTTATTCTCCTGAGACAGACAAAAACCAGGACTTTAGTGATTCATGGCAAGAGATAAGAGGTTTCTGGATAGACCTGCTGTCTTGAACCCACCTCTTCCAAGGGAATATATCAATTGGCACCTGTGTTTCCAGTCACATTCTCTCTCTTTTTACCTGCATTTTAGAAACTCCCTCAGCTAACGCCCCTTCATTGCCTTCTCCAGAGGATAGGTCTAAACCAGGCCTTGGCAAAATATGACCCGTGGGCCGAATCTGGCCCACCAAGCCACTGGATCTGGCCCATGGATGCTGCAGGGAGCCCTATGCAGGCTCCCTACTTGTCTTGCCCCACCTGCATGCTGCTCAGAAACGCGGCTGTGGGGCAGTCTCACTTTCAAAACTGAGAGTCCAGAGTAGGGATGTTAATGATTGGTTATTTTACTAGTTGACTAGTCGATGGAATTTCCATCCACTACTTGACTAGTCGATAGGCACTTCCGCATTCCTCCTTTGAAATGTACAAGAGCCCCCAGAGGAGGAATGTGGTGTTTCAAAGGGGCAGCCGCACAGCTGAGACAGGGATCAGCTGTGCGGTGCTGCTGCTTTGAAGTGCCCCTCTTTCCCCCCTTTGCTGCCTCTATCTCATAGCGGCAGCGGGAAGGGAGGGGGGAAATCGACTAGTCGACTATCTGATAAGCATTTGCTTATTGGATAGTCGGCTAGTCCTTAACATCCCTAGTCTGGAGTGGAGGGGGGAAGCTTTAGGAGCTGTTTCCACCCCCAGCACAATCACATTGGCCGGTTTCTGGCTAGACAGCAGTGTGCCCAGCTTCATAGGTGATTAATCGGCCCCGCCCAGTCAGAGGCTCAGGGCTCCCTGCAAGCAGCTGATGGACTGGGCGGGGCTGATTAATCACCTGCAAAGCTGCGCTGCCCTGAAGCTTAGAGGGAACACTGGCTGGCAGGGAGGCTGATTCAGGAACGGGCTGCTGGTTGGTAAGTCTCCTGGCCAGACCCTGCCTCTGGCACCCCAGCCTCTCCCTCCCTCAACCCTCTGCCCCCCACCCCACATACCCAAATCCTCTGCCTGCTCCTACACCCACATTCCCTCCCAGATCTGGCACCCCAATCCCCTGCCCCAGATCACAGACCCCTTCAGCTTTAGCTCACAACCCAAACCCCTGCACCCCCTCCTGTACCCATTTCCCTGCCCTAGGACACAATGCCACCCCCTGTACTCCAGTCCAGGTCCCCAGATCACAAATGCCTCCTTCACCTAAACTCTATTTCCCTGCCCTAGGACACAATGCCACCCCCTGTACTCCAGTCCAGGTCCCCAGATCACAAATGCCTCCTTCACCTAAACTCTCCCCCTTATCCCAAGCTCCCTTCTGTACCCAATCTCCATCCCATTAATATGGAAGAGTGTGGCCCTTGACCACCTTCTAAATACTTGGAGTGGCCCGCCCATCAAAAATTACTGCCCACCTCAGTCTAAACTCTAATGACAATCATGGAAGTTTCTATACCAGCGCAGTATATGGCCCCATTTGGGATCCTGGATATTGTCCAATGTTCTCCAGGAGGGTGGGAGAAGACTGGCTCATCAGTCAAGTTACTTTCAGTCATAAGGGGTTGTAATTTCAAACAGCTGTCTTCTTAAAACAGAGGTCAGATAAGTTATATGCCCAAAACCACTTCATCCAGCTGCATGCACCCAGATCATCTGGTGCTTTCTAGAGTGGCACTTGCCAGCCCCATAAATGACAAAACCAAGATGCCCAATATTTGATGAGATTTTCATACCTGTATTTATTATCTGTGAGATTCCAAAGTTACCTAGAAAAAACATGTTTCATGCCCGTGTCCTTCTAGGGCAGTGGGGACATATCAGCTGGCAAGGTTATGGTGCTCACCTTGTATTCCCACATAAAACAGAAGATTTTACATATGGCAGTTAACTCAAGCTAATAATGCAGTAGTCGCTTACTGAGAACAATCCTATAGCTGTTAATAGAAATTACATCCATGGGCTCTACAGACAGGACCCTCAACACAAAAAGGCACAGAGCTCACTCCACGTGACACCTGAGTCGGGGGAGAAGGAGACAGATGCCATGTTGAAATGGTTCCCTAACAGTGGAGATGGCCATCGTCCAATTTGCCTCTCCACGTAAGTTACTACCACTTCAGGCTGGTATAACCCAACTGCTGAAGGCTCTAAACCTGGCCTGGAAGCTGGGGTTATCCCCAGTGCAGAGATGCTTTGGTCACACTCTCCATGTCTGCACTGTCCATGGGGAATTCTCAAGCAGATGCCTCTGCTGGCTTTACAGCCCATTTGCACCAGTGGTCACAGCAGATCCCAACTTAGGCCCGTTGAGAACAGTTCGTAAATTGCAGGGACAGAATTGTACATCTGATTTATCAGGAAATTATAACGTCTTACAGAAGAGAGTGCGCTGGAGAACAATCCTCCATTATAGCTTTTGATCCTAAATGCTTCTTGGAACTCCCTATGCATGTCCTCTGCTGTGTCCCTTTCGGGGGGAGGAGAAGGGGGTGTTTACAAATGTATCCCTGTGTGCTTACCCTGCTATGGAGCTGCTGCTCTGCCTCTCCTCACCCTTCTTGGAGCAGTCCAGAGAGAGTAGTCTTTGTGCTCCCTGGAGGGCAAGGGCTGTGATGTGCCTAGCTCTTACGCAGGTCACCTGCGACATCCCACCTCCTCTTTCACTATTCCTCCCCGGCCCCAGCCTTACCTATGGAGCTCTGATTGAGTGGGTAGGTCACCTGCGACATCCCACTTCCTCTTTCACTATTCCTCCCCGGCCTCAGTCTTACCTATGGAGCTCTGATTGAGTGGGCACATAGTCAAGGTTTTGGTTTTTTAGTGAGCTATAATTCAATCTTTGGCCAACTTTCTGCACGATTTTGCAGAATTTTTTTCCTCGATGTTTCGGATGCTGATAAATTTCAGGACAACCCATCTTTCTTAGCCTACGTTATAATGGGAGCTAAAAACAGGGCATGTAATGGAACCTGGTTTCAAGTTTAATAGTCTCTCTAAAGTCTAGGAGTGAATTGTTTCCACTCCATTAAACTGGGAAGCAGCGCCACCCAGTGGTTGTGAAAACAAAACAAAAAGGTACACTAACCGCCTAAAAACATTTATTTGCACTAAAGCAATTAAGGGCGATGTGGCTGAGAAGGATGAGAACTGAAAGTTCATCCCTAAGAAGCAGATTCTGACAGGTGCTGAGTGCTGCCTGTGTGGTCTAAAGAACTCTCAGCTCCCACTGACGACTATAAGGGAATTCAGCGCACTGGGCACCTTGAGAGATCTCAGTTCTTATTCCAAGAGATCAAACTCTACAGCTTATTTGTATTCCCACACAAAAGGACATGTGTTAACTTTGAATTACAGGTGGTAGATTTCAGATCCCTGCAGAGCAACTGGTAAAAAGTAAGGGAAAGAATCAGATAAGGCAGGGGTGGGGAAGCTTTTCTGGGTCAGGGACCAAATGAAAAATCAGTTGGGAGCTGCACACAAGTAGGAGGAAAGTGAGAAGCCCCTGACTGAGAAGAAGAAAGACACTCCCCACGTTCCCCTCGCACACCAGAGCCCATGGGGACCCAGGCTAGTAGATTCTGTGCACTCCAGCCCTGTGGGTGGGTGGCAGGGGGGCTGGAGTGCCAGCGCAGATTCCCCAATAGGGGAGGGATCCCTGAGCCTCAGGCCTAAGGTTTCCCACCCCTGCCTTATTTCTGACTCTGACTGCTGCTTACACGGTCATGCCTATGGATGATGCGGGATGTAGGGTTGATGCGGCTTCTGTAATTACACGATATGTAGCTCTGTCCTGGCTTCCATACTGGTGGGTATAAGTAAGTGGGGCCTGGTGTTCCACTGCAAATGGTGACTGCGAGAGATGTTTTTCTGTAAGCCTTAGGAACAGATAGGTGGAGGGGTAGCCCACAGGTACGTAGGGTTACTATTTTTATGTAGATATGACGGAAGTGAAACCTCTATGGATTTTACTCCTGGGGGAATTCTGCCCCATTGTGCACATGAAGAAATCATGTCTTCCCCACCCCCCCCGCCAGATTTTTTTTTCTCCACAGAAAACACATTTTGCCAGAGAGGAGCTGTGCTTATGTCTTTCACCCACCAGGGGCTGCTCGGGTGCCAGAACAAGCCATAGCAGTCAGCAGTAGACAGGGAGGGCAAGAGGCTACATTCCTCACAGTGTCCTGCCCGTGGGGCCAAGTGACCCCACGTTCTCTCACCCACACTCCCAGGCTCCTCCCTCAGCTCCTCCATTACCCTTGACTACCTCAAGCCTTTACACTGCTTTTGAGGTCGTCTGCGCGTCCCCGATCTGGGAACACCGGTGATATGGAGGAGGAAGAGGCTCTGCATGCTGCCATTTCCCCTCCTACCCAGCTGGGAGAACAGCAGCACACAACAGCTGCTTCCCCTGAGGCTTTCCCCCCTGTCCCATAGTGGAGGTGGGGGGGGAGAGAGCAGTGCCTGGGAACAGCAGGGAGCACGGATCTGTGCGTGCCCCCAGCAGTGGGGCGGCAAGTAAGCGCCCCACTTCTACTCCCTCATGCTCACACCCCGCAGCACCCTACCTAGCCCGGCAAAATCTTTTATCCAGCACCCTGTTTCCTAGGGTTGCCAGATTAGAAGTTCAAAGTTCTGTATTAATATGCCTGGTAAAGAATCTGTCAAAAAACATGTCCTGAATCTTTTTTGCTATCTGTATTGTTACAGACATACTAGTTGGCAGGTATTTTGAAATAAATTGCCAAAATAATTTAAATTGGTGTGATTATATTGTGTTAGTCTGATAAATAAAATATTCAGAACTTTAAAATATTTAAAATTAAAAAAAATTTTGGCACAGAATTCCCCCAGGCATAGCATGTGGGTGTTTTATATTTATGACTGGGGTGAAGGCTGGATATTGGTTGCCAAGATGACTGAGGAGATATGGGGCTGTGGTAGGTAGTTGAGGTTGAGAAGAGAAACTCATGAGTGGAGTACAGATGGGGGCATTGAATGACTTGTTTGCACTACAAATCTCCCTCTTTAAATGGCCATAAAGCACTTGATTTTACACCCGATCTGAAGGACAGCACCTCAAGCCACACCTCAGAGGCCCCTACCACCATGCTAGAACTTAGTTTCAAGGCTGATGTAGAAGGACAGCCACCTACTGAGTCATCATCCCTATTCGCTGCCGCACTTGAGTGAGGGTATGTCTACACTACCCTCCTAGTTCGAACTACCGTTACTCCTTGTGGAATGAGGAGTAATGGTAGTTCGAACTAGAAAGCCTAGTTCGAGCTACCTAGTTCGTGCCGCGTGGCTACACGCGGCACGAACTAGGTAGCTCGAACTAGGCTTCCTAGTTCGAACTACCGTTACTCCTTGTGGAATGAGGAGTAATGGTAGTTCGAACTAGAAAGCCTAGTTCGAGCTACCTAGTTCGTGCCGCGTGGCTACACGCGGCACGAACTAGGTAGCTCGAACTAGGCTTCCTAGTTCGAACTACCGTTACTCCTTGTGGAATGAGGAGTAATGGTAGTTCGAACTAGAAAGCCTAGTTCGAGCTACCTAGTTCGTGCCGCGTGGCTACACGCGGCACGAACTAGGTAGCTCGAACTAGGCTTCCTAGTTCGAACTACCGTTACTCCTTGTGGAATGAGGAGTAATGGTAGTTCGAACTAGGCTTCCTAGTTCGAACTAGGAGGGTAGTGTAGACATACTCTTAGGGATGTAAAATCCCGTTTAATTGGTTAGCCAGTTAAACGTTAGTCGGTTAACCAGCTAAACATAAAGGGGGAGCAAGCAGCCTCACTGGGCTGGAGTGTCCCCACCCGCCCACCATGGCTGGACTGGCGCGCCCCCCCCCTTCTCACACCGCAGACAAGGGCTGCTCCAGCCAGCCAGTCAAAGCAGCCCCTGTCTGCACCGGGGAGGCCAGGCCAGGCCAGGTCTGCCACAATCAGGGGCTGCTCCAAGCAGGCTGGTCAGAGAAGTCCCCTGCCTATGGAGGGCCCCATGGGGCTGGAGAAGCTCCCTGCCCAAGGCAGGCAGGGAGCAGCTCCAGCCCCACTGGTTAACCATTCACATCCCTAACTCAAGGCTTCCTTAGAGGGTTCCCACCTAAATGCATTACTGGCCTTCTCCTCTTGTGAGACCCAACAACACTGCAACTGCAAGTTGTAGGACTGGAAGCCAGAGTACTACCAGAAAAGGAGACAGCATTGCTTCAGTTTGTGTCACAGGCCTCAGTCAGTCTCTCTTACCTGTGGGCTGAGCTGTACGTGAAATGTGCCAGTTCTCTTCAGTATCCCGTATCCATATACAGCTCGTTGAGTAGACAGTGCTATAATGAACTTACCCACCTGTTCCCAGGAAATAATAGAATGACGTTCGGCTGGCTCCTTTTCCACAAACGTCACCTCAGTGACTCCTGGAGAAGTTTCTGTAAAAGAGAAGGGAAAGCATGAGCACAGCTTGTAGACGGGACACCAAGTGGTACAATCCCTCTGGTTTTGTCTGATGAGCAGAGTCAGGCCTGATGTGTAGTTAAAGGGGAGACCTCTAATGAATGCTGGGTGTAGGTGGTGCTTTGTCAGTACTGAACCAATGCCCGGACATTAAGGGGGCGTAGTGCTGCTGAAGATGCCATCTTTTGCCTTAGACATATTAAAGACAAGGAATCAGGAACTTGATTCAAAGGACTCCAGGGCAATTTCCACAAAAGCAGAGGGTTAGCCCTGGGGTCCTAGCCACACTCCCAAAGTCAGGGCATTATATTCTGCCTCTCTAAACACACTTTGTCGTTTCAGTTGGAGAAAGTATTTTTTGCTTGACTTGAGATGTTTGTGCAGTGCTGCCGTGATGTGGTAACACTGCACAGAGAAGGACGCTCGTCAGTGGTTCATTTTAAGGAGTCAGTGAAACTCAGATTGAGGCTTGCAAGTTGCAAGTGGCTCTTCAATGTGCCTCCCCCCCCCCGGCTCTTTACAGCAAATGATACCAGTCTAATCTATTAGCCAATCAAGATGCTTTTACTATGTTATTAACCAACTGTAGGTAATAAAAGAATAGTACTTAGTCATTTTGCTGGGAGAATAACACACACCGGTAAAAACTAAATGTTTTCCCTGTTGTACTGTTTAAACATGGACATATAATACATGAAACTATGAATTCACACTACTGTGGTTCTTTTGGGCAACGTTGATCACTAATTTGGTTCCTGACCTTATGGGGTCTGAGCATCACCAAGTTAAGTGATCCTTTTATGGTTGTAGGATCTGATCCTGCAAACAAGTCTGCATTAGTAAACCCTTACTCCTCTCTGGAATTACTTCAGGCTAGTCTACTTGCAGCAACAGGTCCATACTTTATAATAAATGACGGGGCTCCTTTGGACTGAAGGGTGCAGTATAAAAGTAAGATATGCTATTTACATCATCACTGTGGCTGTGAGACTGTGTGACTGTGGAACCTTTCCCCTTTCATGTATTCATATTATTGTTTTAATAATCAAAGGCTTCCTTCAAAGACAATTGAAATCAAAGAAAAGATTCCCATTGATTCAAATTGCTTTGGATCAGGTCTAAAAAGATTGTTTACTTGCTGCAGGACTTAAAAACACAGCACACAAAGGTAAATTGTCACTTTACAGTGCTTTAACAACTATCTGTGGTGTAAAAGGAATAAAATTTTGGCTCCCAAAGCAGTCACATTATAATCATTGTACGAGAACACGCAACACAGAGCACTAGACAGGAAAGGTACCAAAAAGCTCTGGACAGATTTCTTTCTCCAGTACTGAGCTTTTTGTTCTAACAGGTGGATCATCCAGAGTTTTTCTAGCAGACTGACAGCAGCAGTCAGCATAAGAAAGTTTGACCTCTGTTCGGAGTCATTAGTCAGAAGAGTTTGCGCTATGATACCTGATGCTTTCAAGGACATCCTATATACAGCAATAACTTTCATCGGAAGCAATATAGTCCATATTCATGGATACATCGTGGACATAAACATTAGCTTATGGAAAACAGAAAAAGAGGCTGACTATGACCTAATCCAGAGGGCTTTTATTGTGTTGAGGGGTTTACATTTTTGGGGGTGTTTGAACCATTAAAATGTATCCTTTCTGGCCAACGTAGGACTGCTGCCTTCAGATGACTTCCTGCCCCTTTGCCCAGTTTCATTTCAAAGAATAGGGAGGTAAGAATTTAGTTCTTGCTAGACTACACGTTCTCTAAATGGGGACTCTAGCCTTCATTAGAAGGGGTGATAATGCAGAACCTAGGATCTGACAAACCTTTTCCATCTCGAAATTCTGCATGTCTTATGACAAGTTCACAGATCAGATTAATGGAATAATTGTTATTTCTATGATCAAAGAAAACAGCAGGAACATTTGATTCATCTTGCACAAAGGCTTAACTGGGATGGTGGAAGATTTAATATTGTATCAGTTATAAGAAGATGTAAAGCTATGAGTGAACTGCAGGTTCTAAAGGGTCGGTATCAAATCCAAGATCAAAAGGAAGAGAAACTGTATCTTAAAAGCCTCAATGTTATATTAAAAATATCCTGTGGGTAAATGGAAGATCACACTTAACAGAGATGCATAAGTATGGATGGAAGCAGCTTTATACATGGAGAAGAAAAAGAAATCTGCCATGGGTACCTTCTGGGAATCCAAATGGAAAAAATCAAGGGGCCAAGTTAGTCTAATGGTATGGGTAAAGCTGAATAAAGTCAGCAGGGGAAGCTTTCCGTTTAAATATTCTGAATCAGGATCACAATCACTTTTTCCATTTATTTAGCACATTTCTTCTGGAAAATTCCCAAACCACTTTAAAAACTTTATGAGAGACACTTGATTTAATGGTCTGAGCATAAGATTGAGAGTTGGAATCCCCACATTATAAATTAAATTATAATTCTTGCTCTGTTACTAATCCCCCGGGTTTTGTCAAGTCACAAGTGTTCAATCAAACGGGATGACAACTCACAGGGTATTGTAAGTATTAAAGTATGGTTTGCTGCTGAAAAGTGACTGTACACACCACATCATGGTGTTCCATGTTCTCTATATTTTCAAAACAAGTATGTTTAATTTGTAAGCAAGAAAACTGACAGTTCTGTTAGCTTCTTTCTGCCAGACCTCCAAATGGAACCTAGGATTGATGAATGAATCCAGGGTGTTTCCTTCTCACGTTTCACCAACAGGCTTTGAGCTTTTTGCAGGCTAAATTATGTCCTGAGTGCCAAGTGTGAAACCCCACTGTCCTCAAATTATAACCTCTGTAACACCCATGAAAACTCAGTCTTCTGCAGGTTTGCAAAGCGGTTGGAGCTTAGTAAGCAATTCTGTACAGGAGACTCTAAAATGAAGAGAAATTGTAAAATGAGGACCATCACATTTACCTGTGTAAGCACCCCCAGACAGTGTGTGCAACAACTTTAAAAGAAACATGCCTAGTTTTAAGGAAATATAACCATCTTCTGCACAGTGAAAATGTTCTACTCACTCAACTGACTTGAAAGATTCATCACTGCTTTTGTACCATGTCAAGCAGAATACTGTCTGTGACTTTTATGAGCCCTTCAGAGGAAAAAGGCAAACTAAAAGAACAAGACACTGTGTATTGGTCCCAGCTCCTGAATAAAGACTCTTTAGAATCCAGGTACCCGTGGCTATCTGAAGGACGGCTACGCAAAGTATATAATAATAAACTCCCCATAGGAAAAAAATAGAACTGTCTTGTTAAGTTGTTCTACTTTTAGTGTTAATCAAAGGAACTGCTGTACCATCTTGAAAGTGTGGACTGGGGTAAGTAGCGCTACACTGCAGATGATAGTGAGAATGCTATTGCAAAATAAGCTAGGGTCTGAATTTAAAACTCCACAGCTATTCTGTCCTCCTTCTCCACACAGACACGCTTATTCCATCATTTTTGCACTGAGGATTAAGCTAAATCTCACAAAAACACTCTTGGTGGGAGATAAAATGCGCACATGGGGAGTTAGCGTGGAATCGCTGTTCTGCAATAGCTTTTCCAGGCTATTTCCAAGCGTTCACAGGCTCTAACACACAGACAGATTAAATGCCCTGCCTAGAATCAGTCAGTGGCAGAGCTGGGAACAGACCCCAGAGGTGAAATCCTGTTCGTACTGAAGTAGAAGCAAATTTTGCCTTGACTTCATGAGGGCAGAATTTCATCCTAGGAGTCTAGTGCTATTGACTAGATATGTTGGCCTGGCTGCTGAGATAATCATCATGGGAAATGCTATATATGAGAATAACTGGTTGAAATTCTTTAGCCTAGTTATAGAGGAGGTTGGACTAGATACAGGCAGTCCCCGGGTTACGTACAAGATAGGGACTGTAGGTTTGTTCTTAAGTTGAATTTGTATGTAAGTCGGAACTGGAACATATTGTAGGGGAAACTCTAGCCAAACATTTCTCCAGAGCTCAGTTTTATTCTCCCACACCTCACTTCCCTCAGTCCTTTATTCTCAAGCTGAGGTGTCTGCTGAGAAAAGCCGCTCTGCGTCTCACTGGTCTGCTGGGGGGGTGCAGCTAGTGTGGGGTTGTCCAACTCGTTTGTAAGTAGGGATCCAATGTAAGTCGGATCCATGTAACCCAGGGACTGCCTGTACTTTATAATGGCTTTTTCTGGTCTTAAAATTGGTATGGATGCTGGGAGCCAAGCTTTGAGGGTGGTTGAAATAACTTATTTATATGTAGTGCTATATGTATGTACATCCCCTTACAGACAAATAAAGGCACAAGAGCCTTGAGGAACTTACAGATGAAGGCTCTTATAGTGCCTCACTTATTCAAATACATTCACAAACTTATATAGATCTACTCATATGAGTAGGACTTTGTAGGATTGAGCCCTACAAACTTGATCTTATGATAAGCTCAGTGCCCTTAATTTCCACTAACTTTAAAAGGGAACTGAAAGTATTTGACACTGCTCAGGATTTGGTCAACAGTTAGACATGACATCATGTGACAAGGACAAATGTCTGGAGGAGTGGGTACATTAGACAGCTGGAGAAGGCTACCACAACAGTTACTCATGAGAAATATGAGTCAAAGTCACGTGTATCTCATGAGAGAAAGAAAGTTAATGAACAAACCGACACCTCTAAGCTCAGTTCCATGCACTGTGTCCAGTACTGCTAACCTCAAGCTTTCAAAAATCATGAGATTTTAAGCCAACCATATTTTAAATAAATTCAGTTCTCTTTTCTTTCTCTTCTGGTTTCTGAACCTTTAAGTGGCCTTTGGGTCTTGTTTTTAAGTGTTTTGCTGCAAGTGAGAGGACTAGGAACTTTTTTTTTTAAACAAAAGCTCAGATTCTCACACAATTCTGAGATTCCACGAAGCAGAGCCTAAAGAGAAGGCTATACAGTACAACACAATAAAATAAAAAAGATGAG